GTCTAAAAATTGTTGAAAGGAGTAAACCGTCTAAGAATAGCATCCACTTCTTATCTAGCAATCAAAGGAGAAAACTGTGATACAGAATTTAGGCATTTTCCTTAGGAGAATTAGTTTCAGAATTTCCGCTGTAAACTTTCTGAGCTCCAGTGTTTTCATCAATAAACAAGGTTAAAAATGGGACTTTTCTGAGGATCATATGAGACAGTGCATACAAAGGACCTACATATTCCTTGGTATGTAGTATATGTTTAATAAATGTTTATTTTTTTCCCTCTATAGTCTCCCTCTAGCTAAACTATATCAATGAATACTTACTAGTTAAAATATAACTTATTTTGCCTATTTGAGTTTTACTTTTGTAGTTTAACAAATATTTTGAAAAAGCTTCAACATCTAAGAATTAAGTTCAGATTAGAAGATAATTATGTTTCAATATCTTATAGTAACTCTGCAGATGCTGTACAAGCTAAAATCTTCAAAAGTGTTTGAAAAACAGAAGGTAGGAGAAGGAAAACAAACATGTGAAATTGTAGAGGAAGATCCATATGCCATTCAGATGATTTACTGGTGTCCAGAAAGCAGAATATTATGTGTTTCAGGAGTATCAGCATATGTCATAATTTATAAATTCAGCAGACATGAAATTACAACAGAAATAGTGGTAAGTCATTTAAAATTTAACTTTACACTTAAAGTTATTAAAAGAAAGCAATTAATATAGATTTGGTTAGTACTTGGTATGGTTTTAAGCTACCAAGACTGCAGGATGTGGCCAATAATCCAATTCATAAGATTTCAAATTAATCTTGTTACATAGTATAACCTATTTAAAAAGTTTGGCTTAAATTCTCTGTCAATTCTTAGTATTATTAAATAGGATGGATTATGTCTATTTTTATAGATAGTTATTGATTTGTTTTATGTATAAATGTTAAATTAATGCAAGCTTTGTTCTATACTTTCATTACATTTTTAAGTTTGTCTTTTTTATCAAGTAATTAACATATATGTTTATTTCTCAACTACGGTAAGATTATTTTTAATGATTTTCTATATAGCAACATTTTCTAAGAGGATGGAAATAATCATGGCATTGACTTACCTAATCTTAATTTTTAAAGTAATTATTTAATTATACAAAATAATGAGGCTCTCATGGGATAAATCTAAATTGCAGTACCTGTAGATAATGGACCTTTACTACTCAGTCCATTTTGCTACTTTATCACAAAATAAAAATTTTCTATTAAAGGCCTACTAAAGATTATCTACTAAACACCTACATATAACTGTTTTTACCTTAACAACTAAAATATTGACCTTTTAAAGTGTTTTAATATATACCAAGATTTGGAGTCAGATAAACCTAGGTTTTAATTTTGACTTTACCAGTGAATTTCTATGTGACTCTGAGCAAGTCACAAGACTCCATTTTTCAGTAGTAGAGTCTGAGTAAGACTTAGTTTCATCACCTATATAATTTTCTGTGTAATAAAATGAGAACTAATAATAAACTAGAAATGAAAATGCCAATTTTATAGGGTTCTTGTGATGATTATATAAAGTCATTAACATAGTGTTTAAGTGTAGTAAGCACTCAATAATTAATGATTGTTATTGTCATTAGAGGTTTTTTGTAGTTTTAAGAAAATCATAACAATCATTTCGATAATATTGCTATATTCACCATCCCACAGTGACTTTTTTTTGGTAAACAATTGTTTTCAATCTCAAAAATGCTGGGCTTTACATTGTAAAGCATATGTTTGTTATTAAATCAATTTTAAAGCATTGAATGCAAACATTTTTAGTTTAAAAAAGGTTTTGGATCACGTTTTTATTCTAATATAAATTGTCATGCTTTTCATTAAGCAATCCTGACCAAGCTAATGAAATTAAACAAGTAAGAGCTAAGCTAATGCAACAAACTAATAGAAATATGGAATTTAGTTTTGAACATTTTTACTGAGTTAAAGTCAAAATTGAAGGAATAATTTTTAAAACTATAATGACTGTACAAATAACAATTTGTAAACACAGACATATATGCATACAGTTTAATTTCTTTCATTGGAGTAAACATGACCGGTTTCTCCATTTTTTATTATATAGGGAATTATAATTTATACTTTATCTTAAAGAATATGTATTATATAAAAACTTTATCTCCACTGGTAGGTATTTTTCTTATATTTCAAAAGAATTAAATATTTTACATTTTTTATGAATGTCATTGAATATTTTATATAATTCACTATTCAGTTTGGGTATCTCAGCTTTACTATAAATTAAACTTGAACTTATTAATCAGAAAAAATAATGAATAATTACCAAAGTTATCTATTTTAGTGTGATTATTTATTATTATGATTTAGACTAAGGTAAACCTGATTTTTTGTTTAAGTCATTAGAGGTACGACTTCAGTATGATGTTGAAGATATTATTACCCCGGAACCAGAAACAAGCCCTCCATTTCCAGATCTTTCATCCCAGCTTCCTTCTTCAAGGAGTCTTTCTGGGAGCACTAACACTGTGGCTAGTGAAGGAGTAACAAAGGACAGTATCCCATGCCTCAAGTAAGAATTGCTACCAAATTTTAAAACAATTTTACATATTAATCATAATTCTTTAGAACTATGCCAAATAAAATCATTCTTCTCTCTTATTAAGTTGTTGTTAAGTGATTTATATTATACCACGGGGTTCTCTGGTCTTTTCTTTGAACATCCCTGGAAAGGGTATAGTATTTTTATCCTTCACTTACTAATTTATATATTTCCTTCCCAAAAGATCCCTAAAAAGACATGACTTTGATAGAATGGTATAACTTTTGACAGGATACAAACATGGCCACTTGCTTGGTACTTCCCAAATGAAAAGATATGTTTAAGGAATTTTGTTTGCCTTCTTGGAATCAAAAAGAAAACCAAATTTACTATTTACTATAAGAATATTATGTTAGAAAAAAAGAATCTCATGATTGCTGGGATATTACATAATATGTCTTTCTCTTTTTTAACTGATGCTATTTGGTAATAAATTATATTCTCTCAGTATATCTAAACAAAGTTTACTGTCATATTAAATAAAATCTAAAGTTAGTTAAGCCCATAGTAATATTTATCTTAATTGATTTTATGTTTTTTAGTAATTGGTTATAAAAGAATGCAGTTTCTTTAAATTACTACTTACTGCTGCTTCATCATAAAACCAAATGTTTTTAGTGTCAGTGGTTGGAGAATTGAGCCTAAGCAAGGAATTTCTTTGAGCCTCATATGAAAATATCTTAATCTGCCACTAAAGGAACTTTAGACAACTAGTTTCCTCATTTTTTAAAATTAAATTTATTGTAGTGACATTGTTTCAAGTCATATAGTTTTCAAATTATATAGGTTTCAAGTGTACAATTCAATAATACATCATGTGTATTTTGCATTGTGTGTTCACCAAAGTTAAATTTCCTTCCGTCACCATATATTTCACCCCCTTTACCTTTATCTACCTCTCCTTCTCCTCTCTTTTCCTCTGGTAATTATTAAACTGTTGTCTCTGTCTGTGAGATTTTGTCTTGTTCATTTGTTAATTTCAGTTTTTTATATCCCACATCTAAGTGAAATCATATGGTTCTAAACTTTTTCTAACTTATTTTGCTTAGTATGAAAATCTCAAGATCCATCCATGTTGTCACAAATGGCAATATTTCATCTTTTTTTATGGCCAAGTAATACTCTATTGAATATACATACAACATCTTTTTTAAATCATCTACCAAAGGGCTAGTTTCCTCATTTCTTATGAAAACACTTATGGAAAATTTAAAGATAAAATTTCAGAAGCAAAATCAATTTACCACACAATTAGCAGTTGCTATAGTTTAGTAATCATTGTTTTTCCTCCATAATATTTTCTTGTGAAGTAAATAAAGAAAATAAAGCAGGAATTACTGGGAGGAAATTCTACAAACAGGAAACATCATAAAATTTTAGCAAATGGAAAACTTTCATAATGTTATATATTTAATTTTTCCTTCATATCACTTTGCTTCATTTAATTGATTTCTATTAAAATGAAAACTAGAAAGAGAACAAAAAGCTCAACAAAGCTGAAGAAGACAACATAGATGGTGTGTTTATTAACTAAGAAGACCCATTGTTAAAGTGTGGGTCCTCTACGACCTAAATATTTTTTTAAAAAATTAAAAGTTTTTTAAATTAAATGTATTATAGTGACATTGGTTAATAAAATTTTATAGGTTTCAAGTGTGCAATTCAATAATACATCATATGTACATTGCATTATTAATTCACCACCCAAAGTTAAATTTCCTTCTGTCACCATATATCTGACTCCCTTTACCCTTATCTACTCCCCTTTCTTTCTGGTAACTACTAAATTCTTGTCTGTGTCTATGAGTTTTTGTTTGTCTTGTTCGTTTTTTTTTACTTTCAGTTTTTTAAAAGATAGGGATAAGAAAAAACAATGAAAACACCAAAAATCTCATGGTGGAAATGAAGTAAGCAGTATAGTGCAGGATAACAAAAGCATTTAATGTTGACTTGAAAAGTAGTAGACATCTTAAGGATAATCAAGAGAACCAAAAGGAAAAAATCAATATACTCCTATATTATGTTTATAAGGTCCTAGGAAACAAGCAACAGAATTAATCTAAGTATATTATTCTATGAATTATTACATTATATTACAAGTGATTTTTGAATTGCATAAGTTCATGCTTTGATAAATGATACGTTGGCATCCATCCCTAAATCACTTTTCCTTTGTTGAATTTAGATTATTACCATATACATTAGCTGATAAATAAGCATTTCAACAAGCCAACTCTTTATTTTTAAGCAATCTTATAGTTCTTATCAATGTATACATATTTGTGCAATTATTGATTTTTTTATTTAATTTTTTGCCTTTGTGTATAAAATGGGTGGTCATTATAGGCCCAAGAGTATGAGATTTAAACAAAAGTTAGATGAGGGAGTTAGCTGAAGAATACCTGCTGGAACAGTGTTTTAGGCAGAAGGAATAGCTAGAGCAAAGGCCTTAAAGTACTTGGCATATAAGGGGGTCAGTGTAGCTAGAACAAAGGGAACAAGGTGGGCGTTATTAGAGAGGGTAGTAGAAGACGAAGTCAGATGGGCAATAGAAAGCCAGTTATAGGCCATTGTAAAGAACTTGGCTTTTACTCCTAATGAAATGAAGAGTCATTATAGGGTTTTGAAGAGAGAAGTGACATGATCAGACTTAAATTTTAAATTGATCACTTTGGTGGCTATGGTGAAAATGGATTTTGAGATGGGAGTGAAGAATATTATTAAGCCAAGAGACCAGTAAGGAGGCTGATTGCACCTAACTAGAGATGGCGTTAAGGGTTGGCAGATGTAGCAAATAAAAATATAGAATGCCCATTTAAATTTGAATTTCAGATAAAAAATGAACATTTTTAGTATCAGTATATCCCAAATATTGCATGGGACATATATATAGTAAAAAAAAAGCAAAGCTATTTATTGCTTATTTGAAATTCAGATTTAAATGGATAGGCAATATCTTTGTCAACTATAACTAGGATGGTAGCGGTAGAGAAGTAAAAAGTGGTCATATTCTGAATTCATATTTTGAAGGTAGCCCAATCAGCATTTGACAACTAATTGGATGTGGGGTATGAGAGAAGGATATTAGTCAAGAATGATTTAAGTTTTTTTTTAACTTAATTGGAAGGATAGGAGTTGCTATCAACTAGAATAGAGAAGGGCACAGATAAGCAAATTTAGAGGGGAAGAGCAAGAATTCAGGGTTTGGATATGTTGAAATCTTACATTGGGTGGTAGATTAATGCAACAAATATTTCTTAAGAAAAATAAATAGAAATAATTTAAAAATACTATTCTCAAAAGAAAAAAAAAAAGAAATGATAACGACCAGTGGAAATTGTGAACCTGGCTGACTAAACAGCTACTTAAAGAAAAAAACTAAGCAATCACAGGCTTTGTGTATTTTGAGAAAGCTAGACAACATTATCCACCTGCATATTGCCCTTAATGCCTGGTATTATATATTTCTGTAGGAAGATTATATGTAAATTAGGAAGATAAGCATGAACATATGGAGTAGAACTCCTTTTTCTCTTTTTTTCTAGTGTTAAGACACGACCAGTACGGATGCCTCCAGGGTATCAAGCAGAACTTGTTATTCAGTTGGTGTGGGTGGACGGTGAACCTCCCCAGCAGATTACTAGTCTTGCTGTAAGCTCAGCGTATGGAATGTAAGTAGCTAATTTGTATTATTTATCTAATGTTTGATATATTTAGATATTTTCTTTAAAATGCTAAGTGAATTTCTGAAAATGGAAAGAAGCCCTTAACTGGATTTTTATTAGATCAAAATGGTATAAGATAATAATTTAAATATAAACTATGGTTATTTCTTTCTTGATGTCAAACTTGTGATAATATTTTCACTTTTAATGTTGTTAGAGTGTTGTTAAGATGTTATTACACTTGTACTTTGTATATACTTCTACATTTTTTTTTTTTTTGGTTTTGTTTGTTTTGCTTGATTGTGTTTCCTATCATTTTCCTGCATGTGTTTCATTTTGAATGCTAGAATCAGATTCTTTGGTATCCAAATCCTAATTTTGCTTCTTTCAAGTTTTAGGATCTTAGAAGTTACTTAAATTTCTGTGCTTTATTTCCTTATCTGTAAAATGAGGACAATACATTGTTGAGAGGATTAAATATATTACTACATATAAATTGTATCTTTTAGATTCAGAGCAGGATACACATGACATATTCCAGATAGGATAATTTGAGGAGTTTTTAATAAATGGGTTATTTATCTAGGATGTAGAGAAACAACATGAGCTAGTATAGTATCCCAGGGCTAGAAACCACACAAGGTAGTGTAATGTCCACAGTGCTTTATAACCACCTGTCAAAGAATAACTCCAAGACATAGTTAATTATTACCATGTTTTATTTACTTGAATATGAAGTAAATCAATAATAGATTGATCTTACCTAACAAATACAAAAACTGAATTTATATATAAGAAAAAGGAAAAAGCAGAGAAAGAAAAACCACAGATACTTTCTAAATGATGAAACTTGTGTTTTCATTGAGTAAGAGGTAATGAGAACAGTCAAGATATTTGCTCTTGGAAATCTTTATGAATCATCAACTAAACTAGTTTTAGTTATTTATGGCTTCTCCAGATGATCTTAGCTGTTTAAGTTATGACATATATGTAAAAGACATTTTTCATATTATATTTATCATCATTTGGGAATACTGCCATCTGAGGTATGCCAGGTCTTTACCATTTTCTTCTTAGAATTTATCTTTTCCACTCTTTTGGTCAAACTCAGCCCCCAGGCTGATTGATTACGAGGTCCTCATACACTTTATGAAGCAGATTATTAAATAAGGCCCAGGATAATGCTTTGTAGCAACATTTAAATACCTGGATATTAGATGTCAAAGGAGCAGAAAAACATAAGGATAATCATAATTTTTATTAAAAAAATTGGAAACAACTTACTGTCCAATATTCTAGTTGAACTAAGTCTAAAATGGGAGACTAAGTCCTAAAGATCAATGTAATTGAGTTTAGCTAGCTGAGTAGCTCCATTTTCCCAAGATTATTGATTATTCTACTCTTTTGAAGAATTTACCAAGCGGCAACTGTTAACTTAGACACTGTGCAGGGTCTGAGATTGTTTTTCCCCTCTTACAAGCTAGTAGCCTGCTATACTTTTGTTTGTATATATCTTGACAGAAAACTGGTCTTTGGGTCAGAAACAAAGATAGCTTATTATTGACAACAAAAACAGCAGCTAGAGCAATACCTTACATCAGTTCCCTGAGCCTCAGTCCCAACAGAGTAACATGGTAAGGAACAGATTGGTACCTGCATGTGCAGGGGTGTTACGAGAGAAGAACTCTAAGTTTTAAAAACTCAGATTTGAAAATAGGTCTCCTGGTGACCTCTCTGTCCTTCCATCTGGAGAGACACCATCTCTTTACTCTGGAGCATAAGTACATTTTCTCTGGGGAAGAAAAGGAGAGAGCTTTATCTTTTCTTCTTTTTCCAAATTATTCTCACATCATTTTTATTGCATTAACTATGCTTTTTGTTTTTCCAGTTACAGTTGAAGTACAATATTATATTAGTTCAGGTTTACAACAAGTGATTAGACATTTGTATAACTTATGACCATCCCAATAAATCTAGTACTCATCTGACACCACACATAGTTATTACAATATATTGACTATATTCCGTATGCTATACTTTACATCACTGTGACTCTTTTGTAACTACCAATTTGTACTTCATAACCCCTTCTCCTTTTTCACCTAGCCCCTTCCATATTTCATAACCCCTTCCCCTTTTTCAACTACCAATTTGTACTTCATAACCCCTTCCCCTTTTTCACCTACCCCCTTCCATCTGGCAGTCATCAGTTTTTTCTCTATCTATGAGTCTCTTTCTGTTTGGGTTGTTCATTTATATTCTTCTTTAGATTCCACATATAATTCAGACCATTGGTCTTCATCTGTCTGACTTATTTCACTGAGCATGACATTCTCTAGACCCATTCATGTTGTCACAAGTGGCAAAGTTTCATTCTTTTTTATGATTGAGTAATATTGCATTCTAAATATGTACCATTTCTTTATCCATTTGTCTGTTGATGGCTATTTAGGTTGCTTTCATATCTTGGTTAAATAATGCTGCAATGAACATAGGGGTACATATGTCTTTTGAAATTAGCATTTTGGATTTCTTTGGATAACTATCTAGAAGTGGAATTGCTGAGTCATATTCTAACTCCTTTTTTAATTTTTTTGAGGAACCTCCATACTTTTTTTCATAGTGGCTGCACTAATTTGCAATCCCACACACAGTATACGAGGGTTCCCTTTCTTCCACATTCTTGCCAACATGTGTTGCTTATTGATTTATTGATAATAGCCATTCTGACAGGTATGAGGTGATATTGTAGTTTTAATTTGCATTTCTCTGATGATTAGTGATATTGGCCATCTGTTTGTCCTTTTGAAGAAATGTGTTTTTCATGTCCTCCACCCATGTTTAATTGGATTTTTTTTGGTGTTGAAATTGTGAAGTTCCTTATATGTTTTGTATATTAAACTTTTATTGAATGTATTGTTGGCAAATATGTACTCCCATTACATTGGTTATCTTTTCATTTTGTCGATGGTTTCCTTCATTGTACAAAAAGTGTTAGTTTGAGATAGTCCCATTTTTCTTTTATTTCCCTTGCCAGGGGAGACATATCTAAAAAATATTGCTAAGGGCAATGTCAAAGAGTATACCGCCTTTGTTTTTTTGTAGGAGTTTTCTGGCTTGGGGTTTTACATTTAAATCTTTAATCCATTTTGAGTTTTTCCACTCTGCACTTGCCGGACTTATATACCAAGATCCTTTGCCAGGTTGGGGAAATTTTCAGTCTTTATTACTTTAAATAGGTTTTCAATCTCTTGCTCTCTTTTTATTCTGATACCCCTATGATGCAAATGTTGGTACACTTGATCTTGTTTCAGAGATCCCTTAAACTATCCTCGTTTTTTTAGATTTTTTTCGCTTTTTGTTTTGATTGGGTGTTCTCAACTACCTTTTCTGCCAGATCATTGCTTTGATCCTCTGTTTCATCTAATCTGTCTTGATGCCCTCTAATGTTGATGCCCTTCATTTCAGTTATCATACTCTTCATTTCTGATTGGTAATTTTTATGGTTTCTATCTCTTTGTTAAGGTTCTCATTGAGTTCATCCGTTCTTATACTTAGTTCATTGAGCATCCTTTTTAAAAAAAGTTTGGTTTCAAGTATCCAGTACATTGGTTAGACATTTATATAATTTATAAAACAATCCCCTTAATTGCCAATATATTAACACTAACTGTATTCCCTATGCTGTACCATTGAGCATCCTTATAACCAGTGTTTTGAACTCCATATCTAGTAGATTGCTTGTCTGCATTTCATTTAGTTCTTTTCTGTAGTTTTGTCCTGGTCTATCATTTTGGATATATTTCTTTGTCTTCTCATTTTGGCTGACTCCTTGTGTTTGTTTCCATGTATTAGGAAGTATTGCTATGTTTCCTGGTCTTAGTAAAGTAGACTTACGTAGTAGGTGTCTTATGGGGCCCATTGGTGCAGTCTTCGTCTCCTGAGCCAGGTGCTCCAGCTGTGTCCCTTGTGTGGGTTGTGTGTGTCCTCCTGCTGTTGAGCCTTGATTGCTATTGGTATGTCAATGGGAGGGATTGACCCTGAGGCTGACTGACTATGAGGTCTGACTGTGACTACAGTGGACAAGCTGTTGTGCAGTGGCTGATCCCATGGAGTGAGATGGGCTCTGGTGTCAGTCAAGTCCGCACTTCTGTATGTCTTTTGGAGCTAGTTGTGCAGTGCTCTCATGTGGTCTGAAACTGGCCCACAGATATATTTAGAGCTTCTTGGGAGGGCCTCCGGTGCAAGCCAAAGTCAGCCAGCATATGTGACTGGCTTGAGGCCACCTGGTAGGAGCTACAAAGTGATTTGCAGTTGGTTGCTGCTAGAGCTGGGCTTGGGGGATCTTGAGAGAAGCTATGCTGCAAACTGAGCCCAGCTGCCACTTTTCCTGGGCTTGGAGCACTTTGGTTGGCACCACAATGTGTGCTGAGGCCAGCTGCAGCTTGTGCTGGGTTTGTGGCCTCTTATTTGAAGCTACATTTCAAGTCAACACTGGCCACAGCTTATGCCAGGCATGAGGCTTCCTGATGGAAGTTACAATGCAAATTGAAATTGATTGCCACTTATTCTGGGCTTGGGGCTGTTTTGCAAGAGGTATAATGTATGCCATGGCCAGCCATTGCTTGTTTTGGGTTTGTGGGCCTTTGATAGATTTTAGGAACGTTCACAGTACAAGTCAAGGCAGGCCACTAGTATAGAAAAACTACTGGAAGCTACTCAGGCCAGGCATGCTAATTGGTTGGGGTGGGCTCTCATGGAATCTCTAGGGCAGGGCAAACAGTGTTAGTGACATTAATGGAGAGCTCAGATTTGGTGCCTGCTCGAACCTGCTGGCTGAGTAGGAGGAGGGTTTAACAAAGGAACAATTGTGCCTGCTAATGGAGAGGGCTGTCCTGACCCTTGTCACTCCAGCCCTCACCCTCAAGTTAATCAATTCAGTTCTTCCCATATCTCCCTATCTCCTTTCAAGTTGATGTTCCTTCAAACTCCTGAGCAGGTGAGTT